TCCATTAATGTTGATACGAGTATATGTGTTTGAATTATCTTTACGAAGTTTGTCGGCGCTTCCAATCAATCGAATTTGCCAATTTTGTATTGCTATTATTTAATTGATAATGTAGTGGTTTTATACAGTTTTCTGAAAGGCGCAGCTTGAGTGATTGTTTGTTATTAATCCATCAATGAAGTACATTGTACATTTCATATTTTGGAGACTTTTAATTATTGCTTAATTGCCGATTTATCTCGGAGTTTCTGTGACTTGCTTGATGCAGTGACTATACCTTTATATTATACAATATATGTGTATTGTATATCTTGGCGTAGTCTCCATAAAATATTGTGTTTTGTCTTTAGCGAGTTCTTTATCTTAATCATATTTTAGGGAAGTTCTGCTGCGAAGTGGTTAAGAATTTGTGCAGTTATGGATATTTATTTGGCCAAAAGCCTCCTGTTTTTATTGTAAGTGATCACTACGAATTTATTGGGAAATTCGATCCGCTAGTGAGTAAAATAAAACATTCTCTTTTTCCCACAAATTCCATAACATTTAGAAGTGTGTATTTGTTGATTGAGAAGCTAGCAATCAAACTCCAACTGGTAGCTCGAAAGGATCCTATAAAAAAGAGAGCTCCGATTGGGTTTCACACAAAATTGACATTCACACAATTTATTTACTCCACCTCTTATAGAATTGTTCCTGCCAAAGACATAATTTTTTGAATTTTCAAGCGATATAAATTGATTCGATTTTGTACTTTCCCGCACAAATTGCGAGTTGATACAAGAAGCTATGAGATACAAACCAAATAACAAAATCGACAGTCAATTTATTGAGGCCAATACCAAAAGCCATAAAGCGCATAATTCCAATCAATTGGATACAGCGACTACAAGCATCATGCAATTGCTGAACGCTTTTCTGCCTTTTTGGCAGCAATTTCTGAAAACTTAAGAAATTGCATAATAAGAGTACAGAATTGGAAGAATTTCCACTGGGCCGCCCACTTGCAACAACAACAGCTACGACAATAACAGCAAAAAGAGCTATTTATTAAAATGTCAACTGAATGCTCACCGATTGTTATGATTGTTGTGTAAGTGTGTGTGTGTGTGTTCTTCTGTGTTTTTTTCGCTCATTTTTTCTCTGCTTGTGTATGTGTGAGTGTGTGTGTAAATTCCTAGCGCGACAATCCATTAAGCGTTGCCATGAACAAACCAAAACAACAACAACAAAAGAATTTAATAAAACGGCAGGCCAGCAAAAACAAAAACGAAAACATTCCAACAACAATTTAGTGAATTGTTTAGAGCTTTTCAGTTAGTTGCCGTACTTGTACATTAGGCATTTGATTTTAGTATGCTGTGTGTGTGTGAGTGTGTCTGTGTACATATGTGTATCTGCTTTTGAGAGTGCTTGCAATTCATCTTTAAAGAAATTAAACAAACACACCATATGCATAATACGCTAAGAAGCCGCAACAACAAAAATTTTAAAAATAGATCTTCTACTTACTAAATCGCCTAAGCTACTCACTACCTTGCTCGGTTTTAGCTCTTACTAATTATCACGAGTTCAGTTAATCCTTGCCAACCCCAATTGGTTCTTCATCATAAAAATAGTAACAAAATTATTTCCTAATGGACAGAGCCAACAACCCGCTATTAGGCATTTGAAGCCAAGTAAATACAAATTTATGTTAAACATTTTATTAAATATTTTTCGTATTATAATAGAAATGTTGCCCCTTTTATTTTTTTCCAAGCTGCGCTTACAATTGCTTTTATAGAAGATCCCTTTTACACCACAAGTGCCATCCCAATTCATTCAGCAATCGAAGTCAAGTCATGCTATGACTTTTCAATTGTTTTTTAGCTTGTATACAAGTGTTTGTTTAACTTTTAATATACGATCTGCCGATCTCAAGGGTAGTCCAATGCTAACTGCGTTCTTGCCAATTTCTTTTGTATTTCCAGTTTTGCGCTTTTTCATTTCTGGCTCTTTGCACCTACGGGCCACAAGCTACAACGTTAAATCATTTGAACAAATTGCAAAAAAAAAAAAAAAAAAAAACAGTCAAACGAGCTTAAAAAATGGCAAAACCAAATATTGTATAAGATGTGCAAAACCCAGAGCTTATGGAGATGCTGCTGCTGGCAAGATCAGCGGGAAACGGTACGACCAAACAACAATAACGACGACTGATTTCAGATTATGGCTTCAGATTGTTGTTGCTTTTTAATTTAGACAGCTGCTAGGAATGGGGTAGAAAATGTTGCGTCTTACAAAACGGGGACTTGAAAAATAAATTTAAAAAATAATAATAATAAAAACAAGTTATCGGTGTCTATACAGACAGACAGGCTGACAGGCGTATGTATCTATATCGATTCATCTCGTTGTGCTGTTTGAAGGGAAAATACTTGATGGCTTTTTATATATGTATTGTATGTATAGCTATCAATATTTCTCACAAAAATAAGTAATGTAAAGGGTTTCAGATTGCATACTTTACAAGATGGTATAGACCAGTCGAATGAGCCTCCATCTGACCTTTCTAATTTCGAAAGCGTACATTTTAACTTGCCAGTTATAAAGTTAATAAAATCGTTTATCAAACGATAAACAAAGCTTCCAAAGATTCATAGCTATATATTTAAAAAATAAAATTATGAACTAGTCGCATTGTTAGCCTGTGCATTGCTGAAAATTATAGTATTTACAAGCCGAAGATACCAAAATATAAGGGGTATATAAAAAATATTATTATTATTATAGTATTTCTAATATTTTAACAATTTGGATGCGACAATAAACTCTACTTATGTTTTAAAAGGAAGAATTTCAAACATAGGGTTATAATATTTTTTTTTACCTTTGAAATTGTTCTTCATCAACAAAACAAAGTTTTTCTATAAGCCTTCTCAAGGTACTAATTTGATTTTAAATTCATTTTATTGATCATTTGTTTTGTAGTAAAAAATACATTGATAGGCTTCACGAGCACGAAAATAACCTAGCCTTAAATCGAACAGATAATAGCCTGGCAGTAAGAAGACTTAAAAGAATACAATCAATCTATAATATGTAGAAAAGAAGTAAAATATAATAGTATATTCCACTGGAAACTTTCTATCCCTGTTAATTTAAATTATAGCTAACCTAATTTACTTACTGTCCTAAGACCAGTTGCAAATAAATAAAATGTAAGAAGAAAATGTTTTATTATATTCTGAAAACAATTCTAAAAAAATCTCACTTGATCTTTCGATTCTCGGCACATCTTAAGCATCTGACAAAGAAGTTGGCTTCTGCTAGTACTACTTATACTATAATATAGTAAAGTACTAGTTATAGGCTTAGTTTTAAACTCTAAAGCAAATGCTGTCAGGATTCTGAGAGAGCTGTTATCATTTAAAATCCCTTAGCAATGTAAAGGGGATATTTTAGGTAAGTAAACGATACACTTTTCCTTTGAATTTATTTTATATCTGCTCGAAAATAATCAATTTTGTTCAATTGCAACAATTGCCAGAGCTTTCCCAGAAACAAAATAAACGGGTACAGTTAACAGTAGGACTGCTCAGAGAAAGATTCATGATTTATTTTTACAGCTTGTGTGCGCATTTGTAGACACATTTTTTGACATTTCCATAAGGGGAACCAAACAGTCAGACAGAGAGCCAGACTGACAGACAGACAGACAGACAGACAGACAGATATATATATAAGTAGACAAACATAGGAGCAGGCATTAGGCAACTAGACAAACATAACTCATTATGTAAGCAATGGCAGAGTTCAATGTACAAATTTTCTATTTATTTATTGCTGTTGCTGCTGCAAAATGCAATACCTACTACCACTACTACTACTACTAGTTGTACTACTAGTAGGCAACACTCCGAAACAAGTGCAGCGGCAACGGCAACGGCAATGACAACAACAGCTTCGAAGCCGAGCATGTGGCAGGCGGGGTCTGGGTCTGGGTCTGAGAATTTTGTGCAGAGCGAGCGCTGAGCCCAAGCTTCGATTCTGACGTAGCAGTTGTACCCTTTTGCTTCTTCCTTCCGTTTAATGGCATGTACTATACGAGTATAAGCGGCTCTGTTTACGAGTATGTGTGTGTGTGTGTGTGTTAATATATATCCATTAGCTAGTGCGTCGGCCGTGCTTTCTATGTGCGCAGCATCAGCATCAGAATCAGAATCATCGCCATCGCCGTCCCCTACTCAAAACCGAAGCGCGTTGTGTACAAGAGGGAAGATCAGTGGAAGGGGCAGGGATGGAGGCGGGGGCAGGGGCAGGGGCAGGGACAGTCAGTTCCAGCAGTACGTCAGTCTGTCAGAATATGCTACATATACTACACACATATATGGGGGTTTATTATTATTTTTTTTCTCTTTTTTTTAGTTCATTCAGCAAACTGTGTTTTGTTTTTGTGCCGGCTGTGCCTTCAGAGGCCTCTGCACAGAGGGCTGCCACTGTTTCTACACTCGATTTATATTTTTTATCATTTGATTTAATTTAATTCCATTCCATTTTCAGTTCCAGAATGCTGGACCCGGCAAAGCAAGCGTCTGAAGCGGCCACAGCCCGCCCTTGTATGTGTGAGATAAACCGCGACCAGCTCATACAAATGCGTCTGTATACGTATGTATATATTGTATGTGGACGGACGGACAAGTGATCAGCATGATCAACAGCCGTCATCCAGTCAGTCAGTCAGTCAGTCCGTCAGTCAGTCCGTCATTCAGACAATCTGTCTGTCGGCGGCTGTTTCCGAAACAGGCATCACCGTAAAAAAATACATACTCGTATATGTACTGAACTAAAATTCATGGTCTGTGCAAATACAGAGACCAATTTGTTCTGGACACCAACTGCAATATATAAACATCTGTATGCACATAAGCATATATACATACATACATATACACACATATGTATATAGTATCTGTAAGTTGATCATTGGGCTTGATAGGTATTATAAAATAATCACTCACTTGTTTCGCTTTTTTTCGCTCGTTTCTCCGCTCTGCGTTTCTGCATACGAGTATATAGCAGTACGTACTTTCTCTAGCGTTGTTTTAGACTCGATTCTTTTTTAAAATTCATGCGTAGGTTTTAGCCTGTTTTCTCTCTGCGTACACTCTTCGTCTCAATCAATCATTTAATCAATCAAATAATTGCAGTGCATAATAGAATTGCAATTTATTATACTTGTAAGCACAATTAAAACACTTAAAAAAATAAAATGTTAGCATCTGCTCACTACGATTTTTTCCTTCTTAAGTTTATAAAATAATTCGCATTAAACTAAACGTTATGTTTAAAAAAAAGGCACTTGCAAAGTTCCGACGCGTGTTTATTTTAAATTATAATACGCTTAATAATACGCCTTTTTCTATTTATTCTTCAGGCCACCTAAACGATCGCAGGCGATCCACAGCTCGTCGCGTGCGTGGAGAGACTGAATGGAGAGGCATGCGAAAGCGGACGGGCAGCGCTATACCGCTTAGTTGCCAGTGCTGCCAACTTTCGATCACCAGAAATGGCTGGATGGACAGTAAAAAAGCTAGAAATGGGCTAAAACATAATTTACTTTGAATAATAGCTCCGATTGTAATGGTTTTATGGCATCTGAATTATGAACGTTCAGACTTGCGATTATTTCTAATCACCAGCTTATGTTAACCTATAGAACTGATGTGAATAATAGTATATTTAAACAGAGAAAGAATTATTAAAATGCTTTTATTCATAAATTATAAATTATATTAAAAAATGTAATTTCCAGAACCTAAAAAAATTCATTAGTTTCCGCTTTTTATTCGGGCTATATAAATACTAGCTAAATTGACAACACTGATATTTTTTGTTTGTAAAAATGTTTGCTAGATATGTACATAATTTGCTGTTGCAACATGTCTGTGTTCAGTCCCGACCCGTCGTTGGCAACAAGTTGTATGTTCCATGGCAATGCGAACACATCACACATTTGTTTGAGCCGCCGTGTTGGAACAAGTTCTATGGTTGCATTGCATTAGAACTGGCTGCAAAGATGTGCCTCGAGCATGTTGCACAAAGGTTCGACATGTTTGCAACATACATACTTACAACGTTCTTGGCAAACATTTAAGGCATAAAAGAACTGTTGGACGACCAAGTAAATAATTTGTACAGAAATTATCAATGTAAAACAGATCTTGGCGAGGTAAGACACTTAGTGGCGAAAAAAACACTGGAAGTAACGAAACTTCTAATACAAATTTGTGCAGAAAGGACACAAATTTCTGATATCAATTTTGTATCGAAAGAATAAAGTCTGTTTTAAGCAGGTGGAAAAGCTAAAATCAGGTGCATCGAAAAATATAACAATTTGTATAAATTAACTAAATTGATATAAAAAACAATAAACAGCATTGTTTAAAAAAATTGTTGATCGATAATACCTTCTTGGGATTATACCCTTTAAATGCAGGGTATTTAAAGTAATATATTTATTCAAGACAACGAAATCCGATCAGGCTACCCCCAGAGACTATTCCGCTCCTCCTAATCATGAAGGAAATGATATTAGGTATTCACACCAACAGCCGCAGTCTCACAATTTACTCTCGACGCGGCGATCTCCAACATAGAAAAGTATTCCCATCTGAAGGATATTATCTAAAAGTATTCCTCGCCATAGAAGACGCTTTCAACAATGCTGTCGCTTAAATTTGACTTTAGTTTCGGATTGTAAAAATTATCGATGAGCTTTTACCTTAACGTTATTTGACAACAGGTTTACAGACACCCTTCAAGATTTCTCTTAAACGTGGCAGCCAACAGACAACAGTTGCGCTCAATCGAAGTTAACAGCTATCGAGTGGTTCTTAGCGCGAATATATTGATATGGATCCTGTGTCTGTCTCTCTTGTTTCAGACAGGAAGAATATCGCTATACCAAAGGCCCATTGTAATTTATTATTAAAACTATTATAATCTCAGATTGCTTTACGTCTTCAGGAAAATGCAAAACGTTATCGGATGAATGGGAACCCCTAGAAGCCACTAAGACTCAACTTTTCAGAATTTATTTTATTTTCAGGCTGACATATAAAAACTTTTCTCAACACGCTAATTGGAATATTGTTTCAAAAGGCCCGAATTAGCCCCATCGTTTAAGCTTATTTTTTTCTGCGGTCCATTTTTCATATTAGGAAACAAAATAGAATTTCTTGGAAGTACGACAATGTAGTTTAATGTAGTACAATTTGGCACCAACGAGATGATATCTTTTTAGTGTCAAACTCATTCAATACCTGAATGTATAAACACTTTTTCTAAAGAAAAAGTCTACTAGCTTTATTATTTATTTGTCTCCTTACCGGCTGATGAAACCGTTAGTATCTTTTTGGAGAAGATTCTTCCAAAGAATTTCATTGCTTTAAGTTTCGCTTTGTAATAATGACTCCAGATTGCATCAATGCATATTGATTTTGCTTAAGCAGTTCAACAAAGAAGAAGGGTCCTCAAAGAAAAAAAAATTTAACTTCAACTGTATTTTGTCACAAGAGTATAACACATTCTCGCGTATTATACCCTGAAAGGGTAAAAGGGCAAACCCTCCAAAGAGTATATATTCTTGTTAAGTATAACAAGACGAATCGATATAGACATGTCCGTCTTTCCATCCGTCTGTCTGTTGGTATGAACGCAAGGACCTCAGAAAGTATAAGAGCTAGAATAAACAGGCTTAGTATCCAGATTCTCACATGTCCTAGAAAGTATGAGTTTACGATTTTAAAAATAATAATTTTAAAATATTTACATAAATTTTTTTTCTATTTTGTGGGAGCTGGTACAGGGTATTTAAAAGCTAAGCCCGCTCAACTCTATCATTCCTTTCTTGTTTTCATTTATTCGACAGTATTACCAGCTGAGACACATGCGTCTTGTTGTCTTCCAAGTTGAGTTATGCTCCAACTTTCCTTCAATGAATAAAATAAATTGGAACTTAGCAACTTTTTGCTGAACAATTGCTTCTTTATGATAATAAATTGTATCGTATTTCTGTTTCACAACGTCTGCCAAAGCTGAATGCAGTCGATGTTGCCCTAACGCAATGCAGGTTTATTTGAAGTCAATTGCATATTTATATACATGTCTGTCACACTCAGATCTTGTATTCATAGAGAAACTACTTATGATCTTTAACTTATCTTTTGCATCATAGTTCGGTGGTTCTAAGTTCTCTTCTCTGTAACACCATCGAATTTTGTGAAACCAACGCTCGTCATTCATGTCGGTTCTGCGAAGGAACTCGAGAAATTCTTGTTTAAGGTGTATTACCATCTTTCTGTTTGTATGTCTGTGTGGAAGGCTTGCATTATTTCTAAAAGTTCACCGGGATCTGAAGGTGGTAGAAGATATTAGGCCCTTGCTTTAAGCGGCGCTCTTCTTTTACCTTAAGGTCGCAGTTTTATACAGCATTTTGGATCACCCCTGGCATCATGCCGTCTCATTGGAGGTTGTTTTTAGAACTACTTATTTGTTTTATTATTTATTAAAACAAACACCAAACCGAATTGTCTAAGTATTCAACTAGCAATAAAAGTTATTTCAACTACGCAATTAGATCGAAATTGAAAGCGGTAGTTAGTAATTTTTGTACATATATTGAAAAAGTCTTGGTTGTTGTTTATTATTGAAAACTGTTTTCATTATTTTTATTGGTTGTATATCCATAAGTAAAATCATTTTATCAACATATGCATAAAATATACCTTCAGTTTTCTCCGTTCGTATTTACTCTTAACGTCTAAAATATAAATAATTTATAATGTACTTAACTAAATTGTATAAATGTATCGATTGTAGGCGGATTAGGATTACACAGATTTTTACATAAGACATTACAGATAAAACAAAAAATACTTTTCGATAATTTCAATTAAATAACGCACAAGAATCAATATCGTAACGCAATAAAATAATACATACAAATGATTTAGTTAAGTTTAATACAGCATTAAAATGTTAATCATTTTACAAACACTCAGTACAATGCACAATTTTCTGTTTTCTTCTGTTCGATTCTTTTTACGGTTTTTTAGTTTCTCTTTTTCGTGTTGTGGCTTGGAGAGTGGAAAGGGTCTGAATGCATTTTGCTAAATTCTTGCTTATTCTTAAATGTTATTGTTGTTGTATAAATATGTGCTAAACCTAGAAATAAAATAAGAAAGCACTTGAATTTCGCTGGTGACAAAGGCAACTTGGTGTTCTTTGATTTTCATTTTGATATTTCACTTTTGTTCTATATTTAACATTTTGTTGTTTTGTTTGCTGTTGTGTTGTTGTTGTTGTTGCTTTTCCATCCTTCCTTAAAGACAACGGCGAGTTGGCGATGTACTGCAATTACCCACTGAAATGTAAGGTAAATAGATGGGTTAATCGACTTGGATATATACACTGGTCGGCACAATTATTTTGACGAGAAGAAAATCATACATTTTTGTCAATAACTGGTTATTGGTTTAAGATATCAAAGGAAATTTTTTTTCTCAATTCCATATTGGTATTACAAACTTAAAAATAATTCAAAGGATATATTTTTATAAGGACTTTTAAAATTATAAATCAAGGTAATTTTCATGGGTTGGCATAAGTATTTTGACAATGGATATTAACAAAAAAAACAAAGCTTAATACTAAACAAAACATAAGAAATTGATGGTAGATTAATAAAATGTATACCCGCCTTTGGCTTCGATAACTTTTTGAAGACGTCTTGGAACTGAGTCCACTAAATTTTGAAGGACCTCTAATGGTATCTCTTTCCAAAGAGAAGTGACCTCGGAAATAGTTTCTTCTTCGGTTTTATGCAAAGACGCATTTCTTTTACGTTTTACAAGAGACCACACATTCTCAATAACGTTTAAGTCCGGACTTTGTGGTGGCCAATCCAGAGTAGTAACACCAACATCGGTTAAAAATGCTCTTATCATTTTGCTTTTGTGGCATGGGGCGTTATCCTGTTGCAGGATAAATGATTCTCCAATCAGCCTGTCACCGGAAGGGAATGCGTTTTCGTTAAGGGTACTCAAATATTGTTGCTGGTTCATTGAGCCGGTGATGGGAACGAAATCACCTAACCCATTGTACGCAATGCATCCCCAGAACATGACTGAGCCTCCGCCATGGCTCACTTTTTGACATACGGGGATATTTTTTTGTCTTTGAAACTGTGGGAGCCTTACAAAAATCTTTGTTTTTGATGAATTGTATTCAAAGGAGCTTTCATCTGTCCATAGAACGCTTCTCCAAAACTCTTTTGGCTTATGCAGATGCTCCTTTGCAAAAGCCAATCTTTTGAGCTTGTTCACCTTTGATATGTAAGGTATGTCCTTCGCTTTGTATGTCTTAAAATCTACTTCTTTTAGGCGTCGCCGAACAGTACGCTCACTGATTGGAGTCTTGGTCGACTTATTCCATTGATCTGCAGCAGCTTGCGGCTTTAAATGAATATTTTTTTTAAATTCCCGCAATAGGACTCGATCTTCAATGGGTGTTGTTTTGCGGTTAGCACCTGATCTAGGCAAGTTTTTGACGTGATTGTGGGTCTTATATTTGTTAATTTGATAGTGGACTGTTTGCCGCGACAAATTATATTCATTTGCAATGTCTTTTGGTGCTACGCCGGCATTAAACTTCGCCACTATTGAGGCTCTAACAACATAACTTAATTCTGTCTTTTTTACCATTGTATCGATTACTTTTGAATCAAATTTTAATGAAAATAATGTAAAAAGGTCAACAAAAATTGTTACACCAAAGTTATTTTAGTATCACTTGATAAAACGTACGCGAAAACGGCGACAAAGATTTGGTCAAAATACTTATGCCGTGCCTGAATCCGCAGTCAACTCACATTGTCATTTGTAGAAAGAAGGTGTGAAGAGTAATAGGCAAAATATTTTGCCTACATATTGTTGTTGCTATGAACTCTATATCCCGTATGAAAATTGTACCGTTATTCCTTGAAACTAAAAGCAACCAGCACCGATAGTCGTGAGTACAGTTCGTCAAAATAATTGTGCCGACCAGTGTAGGTATTACGTAGGTCGTGAAACTAGTTACAAAAGTAAGCATAAATCAAGAAGTGCTACGGTGCGATGGACGTTTGAGATACAAATAAGCTTTAAAGAAGCGCACAAAAACCAGCAAACAACATCAAAAGGCGAAACAGAAAGCGTATGTGCGAAAAGACAGAGATAGAGAGAGAGGGAGAGATGGTGAGATAAAGAGAGAGAGAGAGAGGGACAAACAACATTCGATCCAAAAGAACCTTCGCATATGAAAAATGGTCAATAGCCGTATCCTTAAGTGAATCCATAACAGTGTACATTGCAGACGCAAATGGACGGACATATACAAGTATGTAGTACATACTCGTATGTACTACTATGTATGTGTTTAATGGGTGGAAGGACAACACAAAGCAAAAACTTCTTACATATATGCGGCCGCTGCTGCACTGTTGTCGTTGTTGTTGTTGTTTGTTACTCTTATTCTTATTGTTGTTGTGGCTGTTGTAACTGTTTGTCTAGGTGGAAAGCGTGCCGGAGGATCCCGTCTTATTGTTGTTGTTGTTGATTGTTAAGATACGATTTGATTCTTAGTTGTTGTAAAACTTAGCTTGTATTTTGCTGTTGTTGTTTGTTGTGATAGTTGTTGTTGTTGTTATTATGGGTGTTGTTGTTGTTGTTGTTATTAAGTATATATTAAATGCAACTACATGAGCAAAAATTCACAGCACTTACTTTAAAAAGTCATTCATATTGATGTAGTTTTTATAACTAAATAAAAAGGAGAAACACATAAATCAATAACGAAATAAAGAGCACAGGTGCATGCAACAAAACAATGTGTTTGGGCGCGTGATTATGGGGCTTACATTAAAATTCTATTATGATCGGGAGCCTAATGGCTCCGCTTAACCCAGCTATTGCCAAGTAACTAATTTTTATGAATTGCTCGTAATTTGTTGAGAAATTCGGACCAAAACTAATAGGAGTAGACATAATATGGCCATGGTCTGGCAGGACTTAAAGATGTCTAGAATAAAATGTGACTTTCTGCTCATCACATTGCAGAAGTTTTAAATAAAACATGCAGCGCTTAATCTATAATTTGTCTCTTGTAGCTTTGCAGTAAAGCACAATCTTCAAAAACTGTCGAAAATAATGCTAGTCATTGCACAATATTCTGAAAATTTTAATTATTTACCCATTTTGGCAGTGAGTAATATTCTAAGTGGACGCATGACAAAAGAATGTTCGGAATTTCGCGGCTGGACTAGCAATTGCCATTGCTAAAAATGATAAAGTAATAAAAACTCTATCTATCTTAATAGATTATATATGTACATATGTATAAATCTAGAGAAAAACAAATTTTTTGAAAAGGGATCGAGAATTTCAATCCAATGGTTTAATTCATTTGATTGGATTGAAGCTTTTGCTATTGAAACGTTTTACAGACAACCGAAAGAAAATCGCAAATGTTTCGATCGGTAATGCCGACCAACATAAAGAAAATCGGTGGAAATGGCCAACGGCTTACATTTGTATTTAAACCTGTCCCTAACCTAGCCTACAATCTATCTAGACAAATTTACTGTCTGTGTCCGGAACACCAATGGTGAAAAGTAGAAAAGAAAAACAATTAGACGAACGTCTAATACGTTCAGTCCCCCGCAACAATTTATAGAATCCATTACACTATAAGTATGTGCGATTAATATGCTAGCATGCTATATTATATATGGACTGTTGCAGTTCTGTGTTGTGGTGCTAATTGCTACCTTTTGGCTGACGTGGTTCGGGAATAGGGATTCTGCAAAATCTTCGGATGCGTCTCCATGACCCGTAGCAGCAAATTATCGAGGTAATCCTCCAGCTCCTTGACACGCTGTCGCTGTAAAAGCGCCTCGTTCTCCATTCCATTGGCAATTAACATTAGCTCCTGTGGTGTATAATCATAAATAAGTTTCCATTTTATTTAGATGAATAAGCTGACAACATACCTCTCGCGATTTGCCTTCATATTTTTTGGCCAGCTGTGCAGAAATTTCCGAACGACGCTCCGCATGTGAGATGGACTTTTCATGTCCAATTATAATGCGCTCCGAAGATTTCGGGCTGGGCGAGTTACTGTCATTATCGTTGTTTTTATCTGAAGGAACGCAAACACGGGAATTAGTTATGGATTATTTAATGGCAAATCACTCAAAATGCCGACGATGGGATGGTGATGGAAATCCACTGGCGGATTCAAAACGCAACAAAAAAACCAAAAATACATGGATTTGGGAAGAGGTTCACAACACGAGAGAGAGACAGAGAAGAGAGAGTGAAAGAGAAAGCAGGAATGATGATTTTTGTGATGGTAAATGAGTTCAGTAGAAATCGTCTTAGATCAGCTTATATCGTAAAGCACTGAATTGTAGAATATTAACTCTACGATTTCTACATCACTTTTTTGTCGATGATCATGATGGTGATGATGTGTGTGGAATTCATGAATAATATATCGCTTTAGAGGATGCTAAATATGGCAGCTAGTTGGAAATAGTTCGCTTTTTGGTATTGATAAGGTTTGCATGGTTGTTTTGGTTGATTGGTTGATTGATTTGATATTTATTTTGGATTGATTTGGTTTGGTTGTTGGGTTGTTTCTCAGGATCCGCCAGTGATTTACAAACACTGCAGCACGCCGCACTCCCTCGTCGCGCGCCCGCACATTCACATATGTACGTACAGTAGTATTTTGGGAGAGAAACGCAAACACAAACACACAAACCCTTTAACAACAGCTTAACCGAGTGTCTAAGTTGCTGATTGATAGCAGTGGAGATCTTAATTCTGTGGTTTGGTCGTTGCTTGTGTTGTGCGTTTGTCCCCTGTACTTTATTCTGTGTTTTCTTGTTGTGGTCTTTGTACACGTATATGGGTTCTAACAGCTCACCTCGCTTATTGCCATATTTGAATTTTCCCAAACGCTTTTCCCAACGTTCGCCGTTGCCGCTGCCACCCCCATTGCTGATAAACTCCTTGGGCGATTGTTCGGGCGTTAAAAAGTTGTGCTCAATGGACTCATGATCGGAGGACACCAGCTGTCGCTGTTGTGGAAGCTCTGTTGCCTCCTCCATTGAGGTGGAGCGCTTGGCAAAACTGAGTATGCGTTGATCTTCCTCACGTCGTTTGGCATCACGTCGCCGCTGCTCTTCGAGCTCATGCTGAAGGGCTGCCTCCTCCTCGCGTAGACGCTGCTCGTTCAGACGAAGCTCAGCCTCTAAGCGGGCGTCCTCCTCAATGCGACGTTGACGAGCCAATTCGATGGCAGCCTCTTCCTCAGCTTTTGCCTTTGCTTTAGCCTCTTGTTCGGCTTTTGCCTTCTCTTCGGCAGCTATCTTAGCCTCCATATCCTGTTCATTGCTCAATACTCGGGGCTTGGGCTTGGGAGGCAATGTTATGTTCGGGACATCATCTTCGTCGCTAAAAATGCTGCTATTGCGTTGCTCGAATTTAGCAAAGCTGGCATTAAAATCATCGAAATTGCGCTGGGAGCCGTCAACTGGCGACAGGAGAGAAATCTGCTTTACAAATGGACTTGGAGCCTGCTCCTTCTTCTTTAAGTCGAGAGTCATTGGTGGTTGGGGCTTTGGAGACGGAACCGTCTGTTTTTCTTTCTCATCATATTCGCTATCTGAGGAGCTAGACGAAGACGATGAGCAGGACAAGGAGGTAGGATTCGGCTTCGTAATTGCATTGCCAATCGGCTCTTTCTCCTTTTCACTTTCTTCCTGCTGTTTTTCCTTATGCTCTGGCTGATACTCTTTCACATCCTCGCTTGTGGGCAGCGGCACACGCGCCAATTCCCATGAGCGGCGCTTCAGCGAATCTGTACTGCCAATATCCAAAAACTTGCCATTCCCACCATACAGCTTTGATTCCCATTCATCCAGCTTGGGTGAGGAGGGCAGCTCCACCTTAGGTGTCTGCTCCAACACACGTTCCGGGCTGAGCAATACCTCTGGCTCGACATTGACGCTGTGCGGCGTGCGCGGCGGCTTCGAGGGAGGCGGCAATGTGCGACCGCGTACACTAAAATCTATCTCAAGCTGCTCCATTTCCGCATCGATGGGACGATCATCATCCTCATCGAGCGTCTCTTGCAATTTGCTAGTAGGCTTACCTCCGCTTTGTTTTCCGAAGCTTCTTCCGTTGTAGCTGCTGCTGTTATTGTTGCTAAGAAGTGGGGAAGGGTTGCGTGGCGCAAAGTTTTGCGTTGGAGCTTGCAAGCCGCTGCGTTGTATGTTCAGAGAACTGCCCGAGCTCTTGTGCGACAAATTGTCAAAGACAAATTCGTCCTCATCCTCGCTAATGACTCCAGGATCGGCTTCACCAGCACGCTGACCGCGTCGTCGGCCACTCCCACCGTGAACACCGATGCTCGCCGAACTATTTGGTGTACCGATACTAGCAAAGGATCCGCTGAACGATGAGTTATCATCGCCATCAGCGTGCTTCTTCTTGCTTCGTATGTGCAACTTGGAACTGAGAGAACCGGCCAACTTCTTGATGCTCTTGCGCTTCTCACCTTGTCCAATAGAGAGCAGGCTGCCGCCCACAGAACTGGCCAATTGCCCGATAGAAGACTTATGTTTGTCTTTCTTACTCAGATCCGTTAGGGAACCCGATTTGACGACGAAAGCTATGCGTACTTCGAGCTCGCCACGCTCCTTATTCTTCTTCTCCTTGCCTGGTTTGCTTTCCAGCTTTAACCAACGTGCCCGTGGACGATCGTGCACATCCATATCCTTCAATGGCAACGTGACCTGTCCCAGAAACTCATCAATTCCCAGATTATTGCGATGCAGGCAGGTCAATGTTAGCTCGGCACGATTGCCCTGATCGGGTATTTTTCTGAAAAAAAAAACAAAAGGGACAATTAAAAGGCTTATCATTAGGTGTAATTGATGTCAAAGCCACTTACAGTTCGCATTCCTCATTCCAATTGACATTCGTCTCGGCCTTTTCTTTGACGGAAGTCTGATACTTTTCCCTGCCCAGAGCGATTGTGACGAAGCAATTGTTGGTGCCATTCTTTCCCTTTGTGAGCAGCCCACGCGCTCGTTGCACTGCAATGACAAAGATGTGGCGAAAGTTAGTCAAGTGATTAATAACATTCATATGTTTAATCTTAAAGGAATAGGGACCTGTCTAGTTGGTCTTTAAAAGTAATTTTGCACAAATAAAATCAACTGGTATCGAGACTATTGAGATAGACATTCCTTTATCAAGCCAAATGGTAGCTGATGACCGTGAAGGAAGCGATCAATTTTTAACAAAATGTTCAGGCCTCCTCTCCGTGCTTTAATAATCTTTTCCACAAATCACATGAATAATCCTTCAAACAGATATATTACAAGATATATGATACATATATAAGATATATGATACAGTTCTCCTAACACGATTTCAATATTACATTAAAATTTAAACAGATATTGAAAAGTAACTGCAACCAAGCGCCAGAGTTCGAAGCCAATACCCAAATAATATCGTTTGGAGAAGTTTCAAGTGAAGGCAATGTGGATTTGCTTTTACGATTTCAAGGGTCTTGTTCACAAAGAATTCGTTTCAACGGGCCAAACTCTAAATACAGTAGATTATCTTGCTTTATTTGGAAGCTACAGACAAAATATATAATTTATAGCTGTTCTACAAAAGATATGACCAAGAAAGAGTTTTTGTGTTTAAAAACACATTTTGTTTATATATTGTTTAGATATTGAAAACGTCCAAAGGTTTTGCCAAAACTCCTAAAAATGTAAAAGACTGTTTCATATTGAAAATTGGAAAGTACAGACCGATATACTCGTATATATCGCAGAACATGAAATAAAGAAATAAAGTTTGTGTTGAAGGGTAAGATAACTTTATCTCGTTGTGTTGATCAAAAGATATATACTATATGAAGACGTAAATGCTTCCTTCGTCTGTATTACATAAATTTCATATTTTGTCTATAATTATATATATGCTACGTATCAGGTTTAAGAATAGCTAACAAATATTCTGTTTTAGAACGGTTTTAAGTAGAGAACTGAGAAAGAAATAGATTGATGGGCAAAAAGTTGTGAACTACATCCATTCCATTTCTAAGATCATATTTACTTCAACACCATTGATATGCCACAAATACTTGTGGTTCAATTAAAGCTGAGTTCATCGCTTATCTGGGGCATAATGTGGATCTGATTTACCCGTCGCATTTACTTAAATATGTATTTAGAGTGGCGCCATCGCGTTTTACAATGGTGCGCATTGTAGCTTTCTATGGCGACGCCCAGGCCTTCTCCCAGCCTATGCCTAAAACAACACTTGATTTGATTTGAACCACCAGCCTAAGCCAAAAGCCTCTGCTGCTTTGATTTCTCAGATATTCGCTTCAACATTTGCGCACCGGATGTGCGACTGTGCCGGCTCCGGCTCCGGCGTTGGCTTGGCGTCGAGGTCACGCGGCACTCGAGTGAAACTTCGTTTTCGAAATTTGCTTTTGGATCACAAACCGTCGCCTGTCAACACAACCACTCACATATTCAGTTCGTCAGTCTGTCAGTTATTCAATCAAGTGATTGTCGCTTGCTTGGGTCTGATGACATTACCAACAGAATTCGCAAAACCGACGGCACATTCCACAAAGACCTACAGATTAGCAGAATCTAAAGTCTTTTGCCGGAAATACAGAAGCTTGCCTGCAACTCAAAATTAAACTTTTTGTACTCAACTGGAAATGAGCTGACAAAGTGTTTCTGCCTAAAATTATCAATGAACGCATTTGAAATGCGAACCAGTGATCGATTGTCCCACCAAGTGTGCTGATCATGAACAGCAAGATCACCTTACGAAATCTAAATAAATGGAACTTCCTATATCCCATTAGAGGCGGCGAAAAAACAAAAAAAATAAATAAATAAATAATAGCACGAGTTGGCAGTTGGCTTCAATGCAATACGCATTAAGCTTAATGGTTGATTGCGTCTATACCAAGAAGTCCCTTTTTGGTTAGGTTATTCAATCGGAACGGCTACAAGAGGGCACCATGTAGGCTCTACAAGTTATTTTCAAAAATATTTCCAGGCAACAGTACGATGTTATGGTAAAATTATTATATGTACTTAGACCCAACACCAATAGCTGTGTACACGGTTTCTTCCACACAAGATGACTGACGATCAAAATATCAACTAATTGGTTGATGATATTTAAAGAAGTTTATTCTTAAAGAAAAGAACGCGATTTATGTGCGTATTAGACACTGCGGAAAATGACATTAAACTCTAATTTAACATGTTCTTAGATCATGTTGTTAAATCAATATATGGTGTCCCGAAAGAAAGTTCCCTACTTGTATCGTTTTAATCTTTAAAGATTCCAAAATTTTGGGGTACAGCTTATATGTACAGAGAGTTCGATTAAAGAAGATACACTTAAAATTATACAAATAAAAATTATGGGAGCTAAAGAAAATTTTTTTAGAGGAATACAATTAATTTAATCTTAAGCGACTAGTTTTGAAAAAGTTACGGTTTCCGAAATTAAATGAATACCAATTTTTGTTAATTAAAGATTTTTTTATAAATTCGAAGCTGTTGACTATTTCTATAGTGTTGGTCAATCAAGATGAAACTTTATAAAAGGATATTTAAGCGAGGTAGTAAATGATTAAATAAATTTGAAGACAACCTAAAATTTAAATTAATTTAAACACTTCCAACGAAGGAATGTGTGCTTTGAATCAAGAAACATAAGCTTGCTCTTTCTCGGAGGTAATAGAGCTTATTTTGTTTCGTCAGGGTATCAAGAAATTAACACCAATTATCCAAGGGTGAATGATAATTGCTTTTTAAAAATTTTCATATAATTGCAACTATATTTGAAGTCTTCCTAAATCTTTCTACGGCTTCATGACAATTGTGAAGCAACTTTTGGAACCTTAGCTGTTAATATTTCTTGAAACGGAAAGAAAATAAAAGAAGACTCATCTTGCTACATAAGGCCTAAGTGAAGAGTATAAAGAAATGAGCATTATTCACTCAAAAGAGAACAGTGATAGTTGCTTTTTAAAATTGTTCAGATGTTTGCAACTCTGTCTGAAGTCTTCCTAAATCTTTCTGGGGCTTCACGAAAATTGTGAAGCAAGTTTTTGAACTCTAGCTGTTATTATTTCTTCAAACAGAAAGAAAAGAAGATGCATCTAGTCACGTAACCCCTAAGTGCAGTGCAGTGAGTGTGAAGAAATGAGAGAACTAGAGTGATAGAGGGATTTTTCAAATAATTGCAAAGGCATTCTTCCGGCTGTAAAATCCTCTCACTCACTGAGAATTTCGTCACAGTCATACTATAGTTTGACGAAGGATTTATGTTTTGGCAGACTTTACAGCAAAAAATAAAATATATACATACATATATACTCTTATATGTGTACATGTATGTAGTAGGTATGTTTACATATTTTTACAGTTGCAATTGTACATTTAAATAATTATAGTTTGTTGACAACCACAACAACAGTAATGATGCAAAGTGCTTTGGGCCAACAAAACAACACATTAAAATAACACTTATACAGTGTGTTTCATAACAAAATAACAACAACAATAATAACAGCAACAATTACTGAGTAAAAGGTGTTAAAATGGAAAACAACGAAACTTTGCATTTACATATTTGTTGCTTCTTCTGTCTGAGTGCCTTCTTCTTCTGTCTCATCTTTAGGCTTTAATACAATTTGGCATTTGGAATTCGCCAAATGTAAATTCGTCGACGTTGCTGGCAGCGTTGGCGCCGCTGCCGACGTCAACGGTGGGCGTCTTGGAGCTGCATAATTATTATCGCATTAGCAGTTGTTGTTGCTTTTGTTTTCCTAGCCTTTTTCTACGCCCGTTTGCTATTTAAAAGTCTGTTTATATTGATGTTGTTGCTGTTGGTTGTTGGCTGTTGGCTGTCTTGCCACATAACTTAAGCCAATTTAGGAAGTTTTTGCGACGACATCGCCCGTAATTGAGGCTAAAGACAATAAGCAAAACGGTTAAAGACAAACGGCAAACAGTTAAAATAAAATGTGCAGTAATAGCCAATAGACAGAGCCAATAGACAGAGAGAGGCGAATAGAGAGCCATAAGGCAGAAGCATAAAATATGCAACAACGATGTCGAGAATGTTGTTCTATGAACTAGAGAGATTGGCGCATATCGGAACGTTCTTGCAGCTGAGCATTGGAATGTTAGAGACATTCACAGACACTGCCAGGAAATAAGTATTTAAAAGTCTTCTTTCCGAATCTGTTATTTAGTTTCTTTGCTTTTACACATTTCTTCAGTTCAATTCCTTTTTTAAATTATGATTTTCCCCAAAAATAAACAAGGGAAACTCATAAATGTTTGACAAATCTTAGCTTAAGCTACTTAAATAGTTTAAACATAAATGTATGTATAGAACAGGCAGAAGAGAAGGAAGTAGAACTATTTCATTCTTATAGCTAGGAATAAAAACTATATTTTATTCACACGCAAAGCACGTTTACTACAAATCAAATAATATTTTATGTAGAACCGACCGTTTGAAAAATTAGGAGAAAGTTTCATTTAAATAGGTTCACTATATCATACAGCTGCCGTAGTAACAATTGGTTCCACAAAGACTCTGAGGAGGTATGCAAGAGCTAGAATAGCACGACCATAGTGCTCTTTACTAAATAATTTACACATAACCACATTAAAATCTAATTAAAAATAATGCCTCGAAGAATATTTTGAATGCATTAACAGTTGGCTTTCAGGTGTATTTTGAATATCTATTTAATAAATAACAACAAAGTATGAGAAGAGAAATTGAAATGTTTACGAAATGAAAATAGCATCGGGAACCAAATCGTTCAAAATTTCCTAAGGTTCACCGTATTTTTAGTGCAAATTGGAGGTCTGTCTCAGCATAAGCTGAAATGTCAAGAAGCAAGATATCTCAAATTGTCATCATCATCATAATGATCGTCATGATGATGATGAGAGTTGCCAAATGAATCAATGGAACAACAATTCGCAGCAACGCAGCACAAAAATAGAAAGGTGGAACC